ACAGGGTTACATGAGAGATTGTTATTACAAGTTGTAATTTTATTCTCAACAGGAATTATCTAATAAAAGCGATTCCCCTCCCCCTCCCGAGGAATTAAAATTCCACCAAAATCGGGGAATTTTCCTCCTGTTGGCATCGGATTATGAGATCATTTGCAGGAATTTTAATATGAGCATTGAAGTCGGTTTTATTTTCGCTTAAAAATTACTTGTTTTAAATTGTAGTTTTTCATCAAATAGCGGTATACGGGGGAGCATTTTCTTACCACACTTTTAAATTGAAATAACAAATTTCGTGCAAATTTAGGGTGAATAAATAGTTAAATTTTTATGATAATAAAAATATTTTCTTTATTTATTTATTGTCATTATAAATGCACTAATTTACACAATATACAAAACACTTTCTTTTTAAAGTCAAATATTAAGGTCATTTATGTATGTCATAGCTTAAGGCTTATGAAGGCCATTTATGTATGCCATAGTTTTTATTTGAGATTCCTGCTATTATTAATAATATAAGGATAGAGAGCAGTGAGTATTAAACGGTATGCACTTTACTAAATAGAACTCACGTCAAAAATTTTAATTATCATCACTGAAGATAAGATTGCACATTTCATTATTCTTCTGGTTCAAGGCCAATGTACGGCCTGCAAGTTTATGTGTGGTTTTCGTGCGAATGTGTTTATAATAGGAGTTCGGTGTCAAATAAACTGATTTAATGTTTGATTGGCTGCAAGTAAGAAATAATGAGTTATTTAAACATGTATTTAATATTCTTCGCAGCTCACTTTAGCAATAAATCCGGCCGTTGCAGTTTCATACATAATTTTACGCCGGAGTAGAAATCGATATCGGCTTGCAGAGTTATGCGCGGTTCGCTAGTCACAGTAAATTTGTTTTCCACTCTTGCGTATGTGAAACCGGCCACCATATATCCAACGACTGCGGCTCCAGTGCTGCAATTGCAAATTATTCGATTACTTTCTATTATCTTGTATACGTGTTGCAGACCAAACCCGATCTTGGGACAAACTGTTTTGCCTGGGCTAAACCAGATCAGGGGCCACATTATTTTTGCGCAGAACACCTTCCCGCGTAGGAGGCCTTCGGCCGCACTTAAAAATATAAAAATAACCCCCATCCAGCTTATTTCCGCATTAGAAGTATATATTGGATCTAGCTGGAAATAGTTTAGCCTAGGAAAACCTAGTTGGTCCCAAGATCGGGTTTGGCCGGCCGGTAACATATATATTGCACCAGCATTCACTTACTTCTGATTGATTTCCGTATTTGCATTGCGATTCCACAAACTCAACTCTACTTTGCCGTTCAGATCGATCGAGCGAGTGCCTACCACTCGCATATAAACTGTCGCACCAGACGAAAGTATAATATAATGCTCATGATCCTCCGCCAGAATTGTTGCTTGATATGCCGGCGTTGATTCAGAGGCAGTGCCACTCCAAACGTGGCCCATTAGCTCACCTTGGCCGGTGAAGAAAACAAGTGGTCGTAAATGTACCCCTTGTACACTGATTTCCATCCCAGCAGTAGCTGGACTGTCGTCTAAATCATTTTCTGCCTCGTCTTCAGAATTAGCAACAAAAGACGTGAGCCCAGTAGTGTAAATGCCAATCTGTAAAAGTAAAGAAATAAGCGTTTAATAAAAAATGCGAAAGAGTATGTGTGTCTAAATTTTTACCTTAAAAGTGCTAAACTCCTCTTTTCCTGCACCCAGCAACAGTTCAACAGTGCCACGTTTTAACACACCCTGATAGATCTCCTGCACACTTAATAACGATTCGTTGAATGCTGGCGTCAGCGAGAGCTCTCTGGTCAGAACAGTTGTAAGCCCTTTCTGAGCTATTACATTGTAATTATTTACTTCGGGAAGCTCGGCTAGGCAAGAACTCAATAATGCTTTAAAACGTGGACACTTATCGGAAATCATGCGGAGCTTTTGAATAACGAAAGTCTTAATTTCAAAGTGGCGATCATTAGAGTTCAGGTAAAGCAGAAGTTGGCTCAATTGCTCCTTGGTTGGTTTGAGCGCAAGCAATATATCCAAGGCAATAACACGTGCCGAGGAGTCGTATTTGCGCTTAGATTGGTAGAAAATCTCTGCTAGACTGCGACGATGCTTCTCATTGAAGTTCACAATGGGGAAAGTTTTCAAAGCCTGCAAAGCAGCAACCGATTCGGCTACTTCGCCCGTTAAAGCGCTGTTGAAGAGCATGGGCAATGTGCTAACATCTTGGAGATTTTGCAACGCTCGTATATAAATTAATTTACAGTCGATCTCCTTACAATCTTCATTGAGATTTTTCAATATGAATTGACGTACATTGTGTAAGAGCGCGTCATTGGGATCGAAACTAGATTGGCGCGTTAGAGCAGCGACTGTCTGGACCACAGTATCGCGAAGCTTTTCATTTGGAATTTTTTCATTTTCTGTTTTAGGTTGTAAACGTTCGAACAGATCTTCGATGACAGTGCGTTCAGGATGTGAGCCAATAGCGAGCGATTGCAGATATTGCTCCAGGAGTTCAGCATCGTCTTCATTATCGAATTTGTATAACTCAGTTATAGCATTATGAGCATCACTTGATTGAACGGCCGCAAGCAGATCAATTAATGGTTTAGCAGAATCCTTACGCGCTTTAAGGATCTCAACATATTCCTCGTGCTTGGTTATTCGAGCCAATGGCAGAAGTTCAGCAATAGCCAGAGCCAGCGATTGCTTCCCAACATGCTCGTTAGAAAACTCAGAGTCAAAGTTTGCAATTCGCTCTTTCAGCTGTAAGCATGTGAATAAAGGAATTGAACAAATAATATCACATACTATAATATTCTTACAGTGCTGTCCTTAATTTCGCTAAGCGCGCCATCTACGTCTGCATCGATATCGAAAACGCGATACCACTCGAGCAAGCTTTTTATTGCTTCATCTAGCGTATTAAACTTCAGCTGCTCCACTATGTCGGAACTCTCTACGAGATGTGTTAAGCTGAATCGCGAGCTTACTTCACTTCCCACATCAGGTTTGGATGTTAGTGCAGTGCGATGCTTTTCCGAGGATATGGCTTGCATGAGTGTGCCCACAGCACTTAGCTCATACTCAACAATTTCTTGCGACACTTGCGAAATACCTAAAGTAAAAGACCATTTAAAAAATATACATAAATCAAACGAATATTATTGATTATTGATTTGCTAGCTCTCACCCAACGCCTTCTCTGCCCTATAGTTTACTTTCAAATCCCAATGTGAGCAATCTGTTTTGATCTTCTCAATTCTTGTTGATGACTTAACTGCATAGAATGCATTGCACTTGCCAGAGACATCTACCTCTGTTACAGGACCATTCTGATACCGCAATTGCAAAAGCGACGCAAAGGCGCGTTCCAAATTCAGAAGCGATTGATCACGAGATGTATGTGCTATAACTTTGCTGGGCTTTCCCTCGACGAGACTCACGTAGAAAGGACGGTCTGGTATTTTTGTTATTTCGGCATTGATACTTGATTTGCGGGCTTTTGCAGGAGCGCTGACTTTCGAATATGTGAAGTAAACCTGCAGAAGTTGAGCTTTTTCACTGTTCCAAACGGAGTTCACCTTCAACTGGGATCGAAATATGTAACTGGCTTGCTCAGTGCTGGAACGCTTTAAATCGTGCATAGACACGGCATTGGTCAGCTCGAAAAGGTGTTGACTTTTAGGTGGAATAAGGAAGGCAGTGTTTGATAGCACAGAAGGCACTGGAAAAAAGTTCGTTAATAGTAAATATTTTCTATGGTAGTAATCAAAAGAAATCTTCTTTATACTGAAATTTCTTAACACGTCATTAGCATATACATATTTTCTTTAAGGCAGCGTCAAAGTAGCTCGAGCAATTTTCTTATCTTTTAATCTGAGCTGGAGTCCCGTCTATAGGCTTTCTGATAATAAGACAAAGCATGAATAGCAAATATGTAATAATACAATCAACTTTCTCCAGCATAAGTTGCTTTCATAACAGCGTTGGGGTCGAAGGTTATCAAGTTTGAATGTGTATTTCAGAGAAGCAGCATTTCACTGCATGAAGAGCCACATTTGTATTGTACCTACTTAAATGCATCCGGTGGGAAGATTCAAATTATTGTCCGTAGAGAAATTTTTGGCGTCATTATTTCTACTTTTATAAAAACATGTATTCGAATACCTGTTTTCATACAGGTGCTTTTGCGCCGACGAAGGTCGCTAATCTCCAGTCATTCACTTGCAAAGTTTATAGACACATTTCCTTCCCTAATGTATTTAGTTTTGTGTCTTGAATTATTAATAAGTAGTGCCTATCGTATGTAATTACCACCTTCTTTACACTTAAGTCTACACAAAGTTTACACAATTGTCTCTTCCCTGGTTCAACCACGGCCCACATCCCCTCTTTCACCAACAGGTATTTGGACTACTTACCCAATATGCAAAAGAGTATGCATAGCGCCGGTATAAACAGTTGTTTACAATTCATCCTAGATGCAATTATGAATCTATTCGTCTATAGTTTGGAAATAAAGTGCTATGCTAGCTAGTTCAGGTGACGTTCCATAGGTTTATCAGCAAAAAATCGTATAGATCCGTGCACTAAAGAAGTCAGTCTTAAAGCTTTGCGGGTGATGGAAGACAAATCAAAATCAGTGTCCGGGGCAGACGTCAACGTCGTCGATAGGGGCAGAGACGGCGCTGACATGATAAGTTGTCCTGCCAGATCGGTGCTTTGGGGAAACATAAAAGGCAAATGAATTTGCGAGGAACCCAATTTTGGGCGGTATAATACTTGAAACAAGTACGGGCTATTAAAAAAATAGAACAGAATAGTTACTCTATGTTGGCGGTCTTTAAAAATATATTTAAATCTTTAATTTTGTGGTTTCCAATTTATTAATGTATGGCAGGTCGTTTGTGCTGAACAATATGACAAATAGATGTCGCTGCTCAGATATAATTTTGCTATCCCCCAAAAGATGCCACTGAGATCATTAAAGATGGCGTGTGCACACACTTGCAAAAGTGATAGTCTGGCAACTTTAGAAATTTGTATAACGCCGGAAGCGCTCTTAAAATATTTTGCTGAAGTTTTATTAATAAAAATTGATTTCAGTAAATTTATGAAAATCGTGCGACAACTCTTGCCCGAAATGCATACAGATTAGTGTTATTTAAGAGTACAACAACAACAATAATATCAACTGTAGACTTCAACTGCTGAGCCAGGTCGTAGAATCGAATCGTTTTCCCACAGAGCAAGTTCACAGTACAACATTTTCTGATGGCACTGGCCTATTCGGAAATAACACAAGTATTTTTCAAAGCAAGTATTAAGCCCATTTCCTTGCCGTCTCAACTGGGTCTTGCAAATAGAGAACAACCGATTAAAATATTAAAAAAAAAAATCTTTCTGTCGATGTTACATACAACTGCTTTTGAAACGCTCATCGCAACGTAGTTATTAAACCATGAATCAATAGTAGATAAATAAGCAACGTGAATTGAGTGACTCATTAAATCTCTGATATTTATAGTTTTCGTACTCTTTTTTTCCGAAATCTATGGCAATTTGTAACAAAGTTGATACAAAAACTACAATATTGATGAATATGCATCTAATTAATGTTAACTGACCGCAAAGTGTCGTATTTAGACTCAAATGTGGCCAACAATTACATACAATATCAAATATCTACAACAACTCACTGCTTAGTTCTCACAATTGCCAAATTCTGAAATAGCCAGTGACATAAACCGGCATTTCGTCTGAAAATTTACTCTTAATCTTTTTAATGGCAAAACAAAAAAAAAAAAGAATATCAACAAAATAGAAGTAAATAAAAATATTGATGGAAAGATGAGAACATGAAGAAACAATGTACGAAAACCGCAAAGCTGAATCATCAAAAATGAAATACATTTGAACGCGACTCACTAAAGTCAATGCACATCAAATTTATGTTACATTTGTATATACATATTCACATACATAGATATGTATGTATGTATATCAGATATTTATAATTGAAAAGTTATTTGAGTTAGAGTCATGCCTGAAAACTGAAATGCATGATAAAGTTTAAACAAAAAGGAAACTTAAAAAAAAATACAAACGAACTAAAAATCTCATACATATACAACTATATTTGAAGTCGGGCGGGCGGTAATTGGTGGCCATTCTTTCGTGCATACCTACACCTCTGGAGAATACTATGCATCTATGTACGTACTATCCGGATATGTGCATGTATCATCTTCTACTTGAAAGCAGGGTACGAAAATAAACTGTACAAAACAATTCCCATTTGCTCATCGATCATCATGATCAGAAACAAATTGTAAGATTCACTGTAATTTTCCCCAACGAGAAACGTTTGCTTTTCGTTTGCGACAATTGTACCATATTGTACGTTTTATATGTATGCAAACGTTTCAATTACGTGAAAAATATTTTTTTCTGTAAATTTTCATATCCAGTTCAATTAAAAAACATTTTTATTTTTTCTATTCATTGCAGCCATTCGTTTTGTATTTAGTTATTACATATATGTACATACATACATACATTTTTCTCTGCACGATTCATTTCGTTTGTTGTTTTGTCTGTAACTACTAAACTACTGCAGTGTACTATCGCAAAGTGAACTCAGCCGTTTTGTTTTCGTATTGTACCGAACTGTTGAAGTAATAAACGAAACGAAATAGTAACGTACAATATAGTTTATTTTCGTACACTGCTTGAAAGTAAGCATTGCGTATCAGAGATTCAATTACATAGTATTTTCTTAATGTACATACATACATACACACTTTTGTACATATATATTTGTATATACTTAACTACTCCAGTGGATGGTTTATTCAATTGAGTATTTATACTCCTGACTCGCGGGATATGAGCAAATCCCACAAGAGTTTTTAATGCCACTGCAAAAAAAATGGCAGTAAGCCGAATATCTGTCACAGCTATTTTGTAATTTTTGAAATTTTAGATTTTTTAATTTTAATAATTTAAGATAACTCAAAATGTTAAAATTAACCGGCTCTTCTTGCCAAAATGAACGAATCAAGTGTAAAAAAATAGTGTGTCACCAAATGAAAAATATTACATTGAATAAAAGCTGACTATGATTTGAGAAACTAAAATTCCATTTAAAAAATTTTTATTGGCACACTCTAAAATTTATTCTAAAATTGTTATACATACAGTCCCCTTTTTTTGACCAATTGTCCTAGTAATTTATTTCTTTTATACGGGACACCAAATGTTCTGTATTTCGTTTAATGTCCTGTATTTCTTCCGTATTCGTTGTACGGTATTTCGATACCTGAACAGCCTTTTAAAATGGGCTTTATTATACTAAAATTTAAAGATTTTTTTTTTTAAATTTTGTGGCGTAGAAATCTCGAGAAAATTATCCTACAATTTTGTGACGATACTACACTGCGTTGCATAATTGTAAGATCGCCACATATTAACAAGTTTTGACTATTTATTTTTATATTATTTAATTTTAATTACATTCTTGTAAAACTATAGTTCATTCTATAACAAAACCCATACAAATCCAAATTTCAAGCTTTGATCAAAAATTATGAAAATTCAGCTAATTTTGACCAATGATTTATACTTTTTTTTTACGAATTTTTGGAAGTTTTGTGTATGTAGTTTTATAGCCCATGCAATTTTAGAGTTTTATATGGCTACAAAAAACCGTTAATTTTAGGCATTTTTTTTTGTTGACAGTGTTGTCCATAATTTGTATGGAAGAAAATGAGTGACACCGTCAGCAAAAAAAAATTGCCAAAAATTCGTAAAAAAAGTATACAATTTTGGTGAAAATTCGCTGAATTTTTATGATTGTTTCGTTTGGAACAAATGTACCACATTTAAAGGGGTTCTCCATTCTCCTGTCGTCCTTTTATTCCAAACCCTCTCCATCGCCATGGCTCAGGTCGATTTTTTTTTTACTGTACCTAAATTTCTACGAGCTGAGAAGAATCGCAGAAAAAACAGTCGTTATAGCCGGGTTGCGGATCGTAATAATTAAGGAAACGGTGATGAAAACTGTCGCCCCAATAGTGCTAGGTAGATCCTTGCCAAGCCGGACTTCAAATATAGTTGTAAATGCACAAGCGCTTAATTACACAATTTCATAATTCTTGAGTTGATACTTAAGGTTTCAAAGTTTATTTTTTTGATTTTTAGTTAGTTTTTGTTTTTTTTCATTGGTTTATAAAAAAAAAATTATTTTACAATTTTTAGTGATGGATGAACCCAAGACGCAATAAAAACGGTTGAAGCAATAACAAAAATATAAAATTATTATAGAAAATATGTATGTTGCCCATACTTCTACTTTGTGTACGTCTTAAAAATGCAAATTTTTAAAATTTTAATAATCATCGTTGCTAATACTCATCGTTTATGGCTGCGACGACCATTTTCTAAAAAAATTACAAAAAAGTCTTATTTATTGCTTAGCGATTATTGCAAATATTCATTCTACATACATGAGGTGGCTGCTATAGTTATTAAAAAATGTTTTAGTTTTCGTACTTCTGAAAATTAGCTTCACTCAACGCAGGGAAATATCTGTCCCGGGTTTGGTAGAAATGGATAAATCGGTTACCGAGAATCAAAAGTGGGCGGCGGCACGGTGTCAGGAAGAGGGGCGGAAAAATGATTAAATCTACCTATGCAAAGTATGCTGCCTTGATGAGAACCCTAACGGGACTAAACAAGAGCGGTATTCATCTAAACCGATAACTTTCTCAGGCAGATATTTTTATAAATTTAAGCACTCTGTTACATGAACGCCCTTACTCTTCTTTCGTTTACACTAGCTGCAATAGTCGTATTTTCTTTGGTTATGAGGATCCCGCTTATTGCCCGAATAAAACACAGCTAGAGTTGTGACAAAGTTGCATTGGCTTCAGTTTATCAAATTTTGTTCAGTGGAATCGATGGAAAAATTGATCAGAAATGTGTAAACGAGTTTCCATACAAATTTTGACAATTAATTTATGAAGTTTACACAATTATAAGTTTATACGGTTTATAATGGATTTATAAGGTTTGATGAATACCCTTAATGTTGCCAGCTTTGACCTGTCTCTATCCAGTGGAGCAGTACGTAGCTTAAAGTATAAACAGAACCAAAATGTTGAGCGAACGACGCGTCGTCGGACGAGCGATGCCGTAAGGGGATATTCGTCACAACATTGCACCCAATTCTGTTTTACGAAAACATCGTCAGCTGAATGAGAAATAAAAAATATAAAAAATACAAAATCTAAAACAGGAATTCCCAAATTTTCCCATTCTGCTGCTTCCTAATAAATTCACAGATCCACAAAAAAAATATCGACGAAAGGTTCATTTGACCAAACTTAGTCTATCAAATGTTTTTGGGGTCGCTGAACACGAATCTGAAGTCCGTTTTACTCCATCATGTCTAGATTTTTTCCTAACCTCAAAAAATACCTCGGATTTTCTCTGTCACGTAAAATCCGAGATGTTTTTTGAGGTTAGAAAAAAATGGACTTCAGATTCGTGTTCAGTGACCATAAAAACATATAACAGACTAGGTTTGGTCAAAGGAACCTTTCATCGATTTTTTTTTGTGGATATGTGTTATCAGCTAAGAAAGTGAAGAAGCAGAGCAATTTTTTCAGTGATAGCTGGCAGCTTATTTTGAGACTGGCGGCAGCGGAAAAATTACAGATAAATCTATTATCGCGGAATTTCGTCAGACAAACTTCGTCGTCACTTTGGTTGTGTGCAATCTCATACACTGCAGTGTATTTTAATATTGACAGCGAACTTTTTTCCGACGAAGTTCGCTCAGCCATTTGATTCTTTTTAAACTTTTACGATGCGACTACATATTTTAATTAGTTTTAAGTCCTTTTGCTTTATAGTCAGTCAAAACTTATTGTTCAATTGACATTATGATATTTTAATAAATAAATACAAATAAATATATAAATGTGTACAGAGGTATAAAAACGATGGTAAGCGCCAAACTGGCCACACCAGCCACATGAAGCCCCTACAAGGGGCGTCGTATATATCCCAGAGTCCTAGGCAGTGATGGAAAAGTAGGTACAATTGTACCTTTTCAGATCTTTTTTAGTTGGAAAAAATATTCGGTACATATGTACATATACAGGGCGCACCCAGGAATATATTTTAGGGGGGGTTTTATATTTCTGAATATATATCACCGGAAAATACTGAAAATTTGCTTCAGATAATACCCTCTTTAAAATGCATTTATGCAAGTTTTATGTATAGTATGTAATAAATAAATAAACGTTTTAAAATTCATAAACTGCACTTTATTTACAGATTAACAGAACTCAAACGCTTTTAACCGACTTCAAAAAAAAAGGGAGGTTATCATCTCGCCGGAATTCATAACTTTGGACCACGTGAACCGTTTTCAATAATCCTTTTTTATTAGAAACATAGTACCTCAAGGTTCGTCCCGTAATTTGTTTTAGAGATTCGATGATTGGATCATAAAGAAATTAACGGTACCCCTAAATTTGAATATGAGTATTGAAGTCCGTTGTGTTCTTTCCTTAAAAACTACTTGTTTAATAAAAAGTGCTATAAACTCAAGATGCGCTCAACTTTCAAAAGTACCTAATAAAAAATTTTAAAAAAGAGTCAGTAAAAATAAATTTATTGATTCCATGAATTTTTGCACTTCTATGTGCATTTTTTCGATTTCTGGTTTTCGATAGAGATGGTGATTTTTTACGATTGCTAATTTTTTTTAATATTTCAAATACCAAAAAAATTAACTGAACTCTCAAGAAAAACGAAAAATTCATATAAAACGACGGACGAGAAATGGAAAAGAAATTTTCTTCTACCAAAATTTCTTAAATCAGTTTGCAGCTCTCAAGAAAAAAAATGCTCGTATATTTATTCCCTCATGAGAATTTACAGCAAAAGCAAAGCGCTTTTTCAAGCAACAGAAATTATCTATACATATAATAAAATTGTAACAGGTCGATGTCTGTACATTATAGATATTAAAGAAAAATTAATGTGGGGGGTCTTTTTTAAAGCACCAGAAGCCAAATCAACCATTTTTAGAATTTTTGTCTGTCTGTCTGTCTGTCTGTCTGTCTGTCTGTCTGTATGTTTGTTCGCGCATCACTCGAAAACGAATGCATGGATTTGAATGCAGTTTTAACCGATGCATTGCTAGAGGTCTAACTTAAAATTTAGGAAGAAAAAAAATTAGAGAGTTGCCACCTGTTTGAAAATTGGAGTTTAAGTAAATTGATAAGAAAAAATTAATATTGCAATATGGGCGTCAAAAGAAAGAGAATGAAGAAGGCTTACAGCCAAAAATATTTTTTTAGAGTTGCCACCTGTTTAAAAATTTACATTAAATTTAATTTATAAGATAAGTTGAATATTGCAATATGGGTATCAAACTGAAAGGGTTTAGGAAATTATATTGCCGAAAATATTTTTAGGGGGGGCTGCCACCTGTTTGAAAAATTGTATTGTAATAAATTGATAAAATAAATGAAATCTATATCTACATCTATAAATCTATACATATAATAAAATTGTAACAGGTCGATGTCTGTACATTATAGATATTAAAGAAAAATTAATGTGGGGGGGTCTTTATTAGAGCACCAGAAGCCAAATCAACCATTTTTAGATTTTTTGTCTGTCTGTCTG